TAATCTATTTGAATATCGAGTATAGTAAGAGACAAGCCACCAGCTAGATGCTTATTCCTCGCTCTACAAGATGCTTCGCCACGCAAGATGGTTATACTTATGCTTCTAACTTGTGATTCTCATTATCGTCGAAGCACACCTATAAGACATCATCCTTCAGAGGCCAACTTAAAAGCCTTCGATAGTTCGAGACGAGCTACCAGTTCGTAATCTCACTATTGTCGAGCACATCTATAAGACATTGTCCTTTTCCAGGCCAATTTATAAGTCTTGGATAATTTGAGACGAGCCACCAGCCATATTCTTATCCCTTACTCTGCAAGATGCATTGCCATGAGAGATGGTTACAATTATGCCTAGAGCTCATTATGTTCATAATAGACCTTAGCATAATGTTTGGGAATATTCTTTGTATTACTACTCTTTTAGACGTATAATTTCCTTCACATGACACTTTTAGTGTGATCATTAATTTTTATCTACTACTTTTGAATTTTTAAATAATGTCTAATTTTAAATTTTTTTTCTGGAAAATATATATTTCCTTCTTCATAAGTGTTCTTAAATTTTTTTCACATTCTCTTTGCACGAATTCGACCTATCCTTGCAATTTTACCAACTAAACAAAGTGACTATTTAGGCACTCCGATCTTTCTTGTTAGTTTGTCATGTTTTATAGCAGTAATAGTGGTTTGTTTACGTGAAGACTGAAGATAGTGGGAAATCCAATACCACTTTGTACTTTTCGAATAAAACTATTCATACATAATGGAATTACATAATGATTTATGCTCAATTGAAGAAGAGAGCGAAAAAGTTTTTTTTTTTTTTAATTCGATGTAAACCATTATATAAATCTTTATATACATGTAACACAATCGTTTCTTTTATTAATGCTCTATTTGTCTATCATTATTTCAAAACTCATTTTCAATCACACATGATCAAAATAAAATATTTTGCACGTAAATCCAAACTTTTTCCTACTCTGTAACCACACATTCCCCATTAACTCATCATTGCAAAGCTCATTTTCATTAACAATGATAGTCAAACAGTTGGCTGCATTGCACTAAATATGTATTGGCCGCTAATTTTTCTCTTCTATCATTTTGGTCCTATAGAAAGGATACATTGACTAGATCTGTATCTAAACATAGCAAAATGTAGACTCTTTCTCCCATGAGTTTCGCTTGTACTACTAATGATGTGTCATCTCCATCTCTTGAGCTTTGAGCTCTAGGTCATGCCAAGCTCAACTGTAAAGGTCGTAGACCATTCTCGAGCTTGTTTTGGTGGACTTACTAATAAAAAAGGGGGGAGGACAAAATATATAATCTAATTTTTTATCAAAATTAATTTTAATCACATATTCATGAGACCCACAACTTTTAACCACTCATTTTATTAATTTTTATTAAAATCTACCAAAAAATTGATTTTAATCGCCACTAAATATGAGCTTAATTTGTAAATAAAATAGAAACGAATAGTATATAATTGAATAATACTTTAACATGTTAAAAATCAAAATCAACAATTTATAAATAATTTATAGATTTTGCCAAATGGAAGCTGCAAGTCTTTGGATTTGACATATAAAACCTTAGGTCATTAAAAAAAATGTATTTGGTTCAACAAAAGAAAGCAGATTAGGGTCAAGTAGCTAATTTGAGGTTGAAACCCTAAGGAATAGAATATTAATGATTCGGCCTACAAAAACAACCACAAGAATTGCAATTCCACACAGATTCTGCTTTAATCGAAAACATAAACAGAATGAATAACAATGAATAGCTAGATAAGCACTAACATATGCTGCAATTAAGCATAAGAATCATATATCTTGATATGGACTCAATCTGTAAGAGAGATTTAAAGTACACTACAACAAAAAGAGTCATTCGCAATATTAAAAAGGCAACATTTGTTGATAAATGTTACTAAAAGGGTCTTTTGGCAACATTTTAGGAAGTGAATGTTGCCATTNAATGCAACATTTGTTGATATATGTTGCCAAAAGGATCTTTTGGCTACATTTTAGGAAGTGAATGTTGCCATTAGTTAGTATAAATAAGTTTTGGCAACGTTTTTCAGAAAATGTTGCAATAGACCCCTTTTTGTAACATTTGTTGAGTGTTGCGAAAAGTCTCACGTTTAGTAACGTTTGTTCAAACGTTGCGAAAAGTGAGACTTTTCACAACATTTAACAAACGTTGTGAAAGACCCCATTTCAATTCCAACTCCCACAAAAAAACCAAATCCATAACCCGCCACCCGAACCGTTTCGATTAACCAACCCGCTGGAGTAAAAAAAGGGAAAATCACTGGTTTCCATCTCCTTCACTCCCTCTCAATGATCATAAGCCCTAAAATCCATCCCCTCTCTCACGATCAAATTTTGCTCGTCTGCAATACATCCTCAAATTTCCTTTCCAACACCAATCCCTCATCTCTAATCACCAACACCAATCCCTCGCTTCCGTAGGTAGCGCTGCTCTGTTAAGCTGCGTCTCTTCCAATATTGGTCTTTACAAGGAAGACCAGTTCGGAGGGTGGGTAGT